GTTTTATAGCATCATTTCTCAGAGTCATGCCGCACACAACACAGAGAGGTTTCGGGCATTCTACATCCTCACTTGCAACAAACCCATACTTAATGTCAAACTAATTGTGTTTTTGATTGAAGGCCAAACATTTCCTTTTCTTTTCATAGAATCATAGAATATCAGGGTTGGAAGGGACCTCAGGAGGTCATCTAGTCCAACCCCCTGCTCAAAGCAGGACCAATCCCCAATTTTTGCCCCAGATCCCTAAATGGCCCCCTCAAGGATTGAACTCACAACCCTGGGTTTAGCAGGCCAACGCTCAAACCACTGAGCTATCCCTCCCCAACCACTGAGCTATCCCTCCCCTCCCTTTCTAACCCTTCTTCACGTTAACAGTCACTCGCATCTCTATTATGTTTTTTTGAACTTTTGTTAGTTCTGAAAAATTGATCCAGAGGTAACTGCTTTGACAATACACTGTCTGGTTTAGCTAAGTAAAAGTTTTACTGGAACTTAAATTTCTCTCGCAGCTATTTCCTTCCAAAAAAATGTGCATGAACGTGCTATGCATATCAGTACCATGGCAATCGATGTCAACCCAGTTTGTTTGTTTATTTGTTTTTAAATGTTCAGAAATAACTGAATACAGTGATGTAACATGCAAGTACAAAAAAGCTCTTTACATTTTAAATATTAATGTGCTGTGTCTTGGAAATCTCAGGCACCAGCAAGGAGGCTGCCACGGGCAGTTGAAAAACACTGCTCTAACTGGTTACTTTGTTCTTGTGCTATTTTGACAATACCCTGATCTAGAGGTGCCACAAATTGAAATTTGTCTGAAAAATAGCATGACAATGCATTGGGCATACCATGCAATGCAACATTACACATTAGTGATGGAAATTGTGGGTAAGCTAAGTATCAAACCTTTAGTGTAGCATGTGGCTAATATTCCCAGGATCATCCCCTGGACTCTATTTGTTTCCTTTAGCCCTTTAGCTCTACAGGTCACCCTGGAAAAAGGTGGTGTCTACCAAACGCTACCATTTGTGGTACCATAATAAGACACCACTGAGAGTAGGCTGTGTAGAGCTGTGCTCATCTCTCTACTTTCTTACATGCTTTGATATCAGTATAATCACTAATAATGTTGAAATTTTAAATAACTGGATATTGAGTTGACCTTCATTAGGTATTGAGATGAATCAGGAAGTTCATACCTCTCTGGTCTATTGTTTCAAGCTCATTGCAGACCCAGCAAACATAGCTGCATCAGTTTACATTTGTTTCATGTTTTCAATGTTTTCTCTGTGACCGTAAGGGCTAGATAATTGCTTTTATTTTAAATGAAAGCAGAGATTTAGGAGAATAAGGTGGCAGACTGGTGTGGCCCAATTCAAGCCAAGGAGGAAAAGGACTCAAAGTCTCAAGGAGAAAAAATTCAGGAAATTGAGACAGAAGAATAGAGAGGCAGAGAGAATGAGTTATTGTTATGGACGTGCAAACAGCAACTCCACAGTTAAGGTTGAGTTGAGTTTCGAATGTAAAGCAAGGGTTTGCATATATATAGTAAATACAGCCTATCCTTCCCAACATTCATCAATAACTCTGCGTACAAAATGAATTTTATGAGAATTTACAAGTAAATCTGTTAATTAGTTTAGAAATAAAAAATAGGTCTAAGAGATTTAGCCACCAGTATTGGACTTTTTTGGCTTAAGTAATCTCAGTAACAGAATAACACAGTCCCTTCAAATTTTCCATGTTGTTACAACTTACCAGTACTGAAATTTTGTTCATAGGCTACTTTTGAATATATAGATTTTAGGATTAATGGTAATTTTTTCCCATTATCCTTCATAACTAAACATTCTTTCTTCAGCTGAAGGATACCATGGTTTACTGCAGAGAATTCCACAAAGGTGCCACAAGTACTCCTTTTCTTTTTGCGAATACAGACTAACACGGCTGTTACTCTGAAACCACAAAGAACTGTCCTCTTTCAAAATGGCTACCATTTCCTATCATTCTCAGCAGGACTGAAGCCACAGCTGCCCTCGGTTGGTGGCCATTTTGAGAAGGGTATCTTTCTTTCATTGTTTTCAATGGATCTAGGTGTCTCTTTTCTGAATGCAGCTGTGGTTTCAGTCCTAGTGGGAGATGGTTGCAATTTTGAAAGCAAGCAATTCTTCATGACAGAAGATTTTTTCTTATGAAAAATCATGGCAAAATGACCATTAATATCTTTCCAATATTTCAATTCTGGCTTACTTGTTAGGAGGGATAAACTTGTGTGCGTGTATGCATGCGTGCATAAGCACAGAAGACTGAAACAGGGTGCAGGAGGGAGGGAGAATGTGGGGTATGCTCATGTGGGAGGAATGAAATATTGCCAACCAGAAGCATTCTAAAGTGAGATTGGGTTAAAAATAAACGTTGGAGTTCTTTTTATTTGCCTTCTGGTTTTGGAGCCTTTAGGATTCACTTGCTTCACATTTTCAAGATTTTGTAAACAACCCTGAGAGCTAGAAATGTTTGGTATTGTTTTGGGGTTTTTTTAAATGAAAGCTGAGATGGCATGAGAATCTCTTGCTTCCAGCAGCTGGACCTTTATAAAAAACCACCACCAAGTGAGAGACTCATGATAAAATCACGAGTTGACAACTAGGAATGTAGGGGGTTGCAAGAAGAAGGCAGAATGTAGGAGATGCAAGAGGCAGGGGATTTGAAGAACTGGAAGGAAGGGGGAACTGGTGCATTCTCCAACTGTTTTGAACTGCTTTGGCAAAACAAAGCATCTGGAAAAATCATTTAACTGGCATGTATGCGCCGATTGTTTTGTGGTATTCCTGAGCTAAAGTACCCACACTGTACAGAGGAACCTGGCCATAAAAGTTAAAATTAAGAAAATGGCTAATTGCTTAATATCTTCAAGTAATTAGAAATATCATATAACATTTTATTTGAGGTTCTTCTTTATTGTTCATGTATGACATATATTTAATGTAAACAAAGAAATTCCCAGGTAAAAATTGTTAAAATGGAGTTAAGATTGAGAGTACATATCAGTAATGTAGAGTAAAATGCTTTACAGGGATGTTGTAATACCAAAACAAAAAGTATACACCCAAGGAATTAATAGCTAAATCCAAACATTTAAAGGTAAAAATACTCCAGAACTTCACTCACACAAACTTAACTCCTAGTTGTAACTTGCTGAAATCTTGTGCATAGGCAACATTAAGAAAAAACTGGGGGGAGGGGGGCGGGAAAGTGGGAAGCAGAAGTTAATGGTAATGTTGCCGCATAATTATTCATAACAAGTCTCTCAGAAAATTTAACTTTGCCCTGTAGTGACACCATGCACTAGTCATATGATTGATATTTTAGTAGTTGTGGTCCCAAATTACATTTACCTGATTTTTTAAAATACGCCTTTCTCCTCTATCTTGGTGTCACGGCAGGGCAGAGTTAAGGGTCTTTGGGTGCATTTCCATATGGAGAAAAGCATTCAATTTGACCAGTTCAAAGCTGGGAGCAAAGAAAGAGGTGGGTGTAACCAGGGGTGGGCAAACTTTTTGGCCCAAGGGCCACATCTGGGTATGGAAATTGTATGGCGGGCCACGAATGCTCATGAAATTGGGGGTTGGGGGGCGGGAGGGGATGAGGGCTCCACCTGGGGTGCGGGCTCTGTGGTGGGGCCAGAAATGAGGAGTTGAGGGTGCGGGAGGGGGCTCCAGGCTAGGGCAGGGGGTTGGGGTGTGGGAAACAGTGAGGGCTCCAGGTGTGGGCTCTGGGATGGGGCTGGGGATGAGGGGTTGGGGGTGCAGGAGGGTGCTCTGGGCTGGGACCGAGGGGTTCAGAGGGCAGGAGTGGAATCAGGGCTGGGACAGGGGGTTGGGGCACAGGAGGGAGTCTGGAGTGCAGGCTTCAGGTGGCGCTTTACCTCAGGTAGCTCCTAGAAGCAGCAGCATGTCCCCTTCTCCGGCTCTCAAGCTGAGGTATGGCCAGCTGGATCTGCACGCTGCCCTGTCCTCAGACGCCAACCCTGCAGCTCCCATTGACTGCAGCTCCCGGCCAATGGGAGCTGCGGGGGTGGCACTTGAGGCGGGGGCAGTGTGTGGAGCCCTCTCACTGCTCCTACATGCAAGAGCTGGAGGGAGAACATGCTGCTGCTTCTGAGAGCCGCACAGAGAAGGGACAAGCCCTGGACCCCGCTCCCCAGTGGGAACTTGAGGGCTGCATTAAAACATCTGGAGGGCCGGAGGCGGGCCCCGGGCCTGCAGTTTGCCCACCCCTGGTGCAGCCTCAGGAGGGAAGAAGTCTCAGGATGTGAGGGGGCGGCGGGGGGTGATGAGGTATACTAGCTGGGCCTGGCTCACTTTTAAAAATGAGATCGCCCTAGCTGTGCGAGAAGAGGCAGGGCCCGGCGCCCTGGCTGGCAGTGGGCAAGAGAGCGGAAAAGAGGAGGCAGGAACTGAACCGAGGGCTGTGCTGGAGGAGGCGGAGATGCGCCGCCGCCAGTCGGGCCCCCGCTCACTGAAGCAGCGTCAACCGCCGCTGTCGGGCAGGGCTCGGGGGACCCGGGACCGCTCAGAGGGGTCCTGCTGGGGGACCCCCCGCCGCAGCCAAGCCCCGAGTAGGAGGCAGCCCCCCCGGCGTGGGAGGTGGCAGCCACGCTAGAGCCTCTTCCCCGCTCTGGCAGCTCAGTCTACCCCAGGCTTCCAGTCACTGTCTCCCGCGGTTGCTGGGAGAGGTGAGGTCACAGCCGCCAGCGGCGGTGATTGGCCGGGCTGCAAGCCACGCCCCTTCCCCGTGGGAGTCGCAGCGGGAGGAGCCGAGCCTGCCTCCTCCCCGCTTCCCTCAGTGCGGAGCCGCCGCTGGGGCGTGTGTCGCCTGGGCAGGGGCCACGTCCGCGTCTTGCCGCCGGCTGCCAGGCAGGGGCCATGGGCCGCCCGAGCCCTGCGCCGCGGCTCCGCGCGCTGTGGCTGCTCCTCGCGCTGCTGCCGCCGCTCGCCCGCGCCTGGGACAGCGGCGACCTGGAGCTTTTCGACCTGGTGGAGGAGGTGCCGCAAAACTTCTACGGCTTCCTGGGGCTGCCGCAGGTGAGCGACTGGCCAGGCAGCCGGCTGCCCCCTGCGCCCGTGGGGCTGTCCCTGCCCCCCTCCTCCTCCCCGGGGTCCTCGCCCCCCAGCTGTGCTGTCCCTGCCCCCCCCCCTCCTCCTCCCCGGGGTCCTCGCCCCCCAGCTGTGCTGTCCCTGCCCCCCTCCTCCTCCCCCCGGGGTCCTCGCCCCCAGCTGTGCTGTCCCTGCCCCCCCTCCTCCTCCTCCCCGGGGTCCTCGCCCCCCAGCTGTGCTGTCCCTGCCCCCCCTCCTCCTCCTCCCCGGGGTCCTCGCCCCCCAGCTGTGCTGTCCCTGCCCCCCCTCCTCCTCCTCCCCGGGGTCCTCGCCCCCCAGCTGTGCTGTCCCTGCCCCCCCCCTCCTCCTCCCCCCGGGGTCCTCGCCCCCCAGCTGTGCTGTCCCTGCCCCCCCCCCTCCTCCTCCTCCCCGGGGTCCTCGCCCCCCAGCTGTGCTGTCCCTGCCCCCCCCTCCTCCTCCCTCCCCGGGGTCCTCGCCCCCCAGCTGTGCTGTCCCTGTCCCCCCCTCCTCCTCCCCCGGGGTCCTCGCCCCCCTCCCCCCCCCCCTCCCCCTCCTCCCCGGGGTCCTCGCCCCCGCTGTGCTGTCCCTGTCCCCCCCTCCTCCTCCTCCCCGGGGTCCTCGCCCCCAGCTGTGCTGTCCCTGTCCCCCCCCTCCTCCTCCCCGGGGTCCTCGCCCCCAGCTGTGCTGTCCCTGTCCCCCCCTCCTCCTCCTCCCCGGGGTCCTCGCCCCCCAGCTGTGCTGTCCCTGTCCCCCCCCTCCTCCTCCCCCGGGGTCCTCGCCCCCAGCTGTGCTGTCCCTGTCCCCCCCCTCCTCCTCCTCCCCGGGGTCCTCGCCCCCCAGCTGTGCTGTCCCTGTCCCCCCCTCCTCCTCCTCCCCCGGGGTCCTCGCCCCCCAGCTGTGCTGTCCCTGTCCCCCCTCCTCCTCCTCCTCCCCGGGGTCCTCGCCCCCCAGCTGTGCTGTCCCTGTCCCCCCTCCTCCTCCTCCCCGGGGTCCTCGCCCCCCAGCTGTGCTGTCCCTGTCCCCCCCCTCCTCCTCCTCCCCGGGGTCCTCGCCCCCCAGCTGTGCTGTCCCTGTCCCCCCCCTCCTCCTCCTCCCCGGGGTCCTCGCCCCCCAGCTGTGCTGTCCCTGTCCCCCCCTCCTCCTCCTCCCCGGTCCCCCCCCGCTGTGCTGTCCCTGTCCCCCCCCTCCTCCTCCTCCCCGGGGTCCTCGCCCCCCGCTGTCGTCCCTGCCCCCCCCTCCCCCCCCCCCCCCCCCTTCTGTCCCTGCCCCCCCCTCCTCCTCCCCGCCTCGCCCCCCGCTGTGCTGTCCCTGCCCCCCCCCTCCTCCTCCCGGGGTCCTCGCCCCCCGCTGTGCTGTCCCTGCCCCCCCCCTCCTCCTCCCCGGGTCCTCGCCCCCAGCTGTGCTGTCCCTGCCCCCCCTCCTCCTCCCCGGGGTCCTCGCCCCCCAGCTGTGCTGTCCCTGCCCCCCCTCCTCCTCCCCGGGGTCCTCGCCCCCCAGCTGTGCTGTCCCTGCCTTACATGTATCCTGGCTATGTTCTCTCTCTCTCCCCCCCCCCCCCACTGTGCTGCTCCTGCCCCATGCGCAGCCTAGCCATGCTCCCCCACAAGCTCCTTCACACTCTCCTCCCCATCCTGGCCCTGGCTCTCCTTCCACTAGCTTCTTCACTCTTTCCACCCAACCCACCACCTCCTATCAACACCTTCATTTTCTCCTTTCACATCCTGAGCATAGCTACTGCCCCTCCCAGCTCCTTCACCTCCTCCCTGTACACATGTGCCCCCGGCCTGGTTCCCGCACCCCCAGCTTCTTCATCCCCCCTCCAGACATGTAGTCCCCAGTCATGGCTCTTGCTCCCCATCCTCCTCACATACCTTGAGCATATTTCCTGTCCCCCGTCTCCACTGGCTCTTTCCTCCTCTTCCCCAGATACATCCGGGACATAACTCTTCTCTCCCAGCCCCTTCACCCCGTCTTTCTCTCAAACACAACCATGGACATGGCTCCTCACCCCCTAACCAGATCCTGTACACCTCTCTCCCCACACATGTGTATGTCCTGGGCATGCTCTCAGGTTCTTACTGACCAGCTTCTTCACGGCCCAACCTTTCATGTACTGGACATGGCTGCAGCCCCCCAGCTCTTTAAGCCTCCTGCCACAAATACCCTGGGTCCCCTGTTCTTTCAGCTCCTCTACACCCACACTGGCTCTCCTGGTTGTTCCCTCTTCCCACATGCAGTCAAAGCATGACTCCTTCACCCTTCCGACCTCTACATTGTGGGTGGCATGGCTACTGCTCTCTCCCACTTTTACTCCTTGCCACCCTCTTGCACATCATGGCCATGCTCCTGGTCTCCTTGTTTCCTTCTCTCCATCTCCTCGCTCCGCTCTCCGTGCACACATCCTGGCTATGACTTCTGGTCACTTCAAGCGCCTTCATTACATCCCCACTGTGCGCACACCCAGAATGTAATTTTCTCCATACACCCTGCAAATGGCTTCTGCCCTCCATCCCTTAACCCTGTGTCCACTCCTGCATATCTTTGCATAAAGGCTGGCCACCCAGTTTCTTCACCCTTTGCTTCCCTCCCCCCCACCTGCATTTTGCAGCTCATGGAGTAGGGCTGCTGGTCTTTCTGTTCCCTAAGGTCTTTTGCATCATATACTAGACCTTCCCCCAGCCATAGCTTCTGGACCCCTTCGCTCTTCACCTCGTGCACCTCCATCCTCCTCTCTGTGCACCCTGGGCATTGTTCCTGGTCTCCCCTCAGCTCCTTCATCCCTGTCTCCCAGCCATGGATTCTGATGTCTGCCCAGCACCTCCACTTCATGTTAATATTGCACTGCAGCTTGGGCATGGCTCTTGATCTCCTACCCCAACCACTTTCACCCCATACTTCCCAGTCACTCTAGGTCTAGCTTCTGGTCTCCCCCCAACTCAGCACCTTCACCTCATGTTCACTCCCTTACCATCTGCATCCCTGGACATTTGCCAAGTCTTCTAAATCTCATGTCTTCTCCTGCCCCCTCTGCCCCGGGGGCCCCTATGTCCTGGTTGTCTCTTCTCCCCTGTTCCCAAATCTTATGCCCCTTGCTCCCTGGGTACCACTTTCTGCCCCCTAGCATCAAACCATGTCCCTCCCCCTACCCAATCCAGAAGCTCCATCTGTTTTGTTCTGCGTCACCCTGTGCTACTTCCCACTGGGCACCTTGTCCTTTGTTCCCTATTTCCCTTTCTTTCACCTATCTGTTTTGGTGACTAGTCTCTGCTGTTGGTACAGATCTTCTGGTGATTTCACAGAAGTTCTTAGCAGGAGGAATGATCTTCCAGTTAAGGCACTGGCCTAGATGTCCAGAGATCTGCCATGGGTAAATCATTTTTTCACACAGGCTCTTCTGGTATCTCTCTTACGTGTGTGGGGAGAATAATTCAAATGTAAGGTGCATTTGGGACACTTTGGTCAGGCAAGTGGAAATACTGTGCAGCCTATATGAGGTGGAGAAGAACTACATGCCATGTGTAGAGATGCTCTTTTGGGAGGGAGGGGTAATGGTGGTATGGGGAGAATAGCAGCTGCAATTGTAACTGGTAGCTTGCTGGACCCTAAGGCTGTCACTCGTTTTGTCTCGCTTTCTGGGCTAATTAAACACAAAATCCAAGGGTCTAGTACCGGGAAATGAAAGTATTATCCAACACCATACTACATAGCAGATCTACTGTTCAATTTTCACAGTCACTGTTAGGGAGGGAGGTGCTGTCTTTGAGGAATGAATTTTAAGCCAGAACTTAAAGTTGATCCCTATGGGGATGGGGAACTTTGTTTTCATTTCAATTAAACATTTAAAGTCTTGCAGTTTAGGATAATATCCTCCCATTCTTATTGTGTCAGCTGAAGACTCAGATCTGCAAGGAGTTCAATGAGATGCAACTTATTTACTTTAACCAGTAAAAATTAAACTAGTTCTCATTACTGTTTCAAGTATTACAGGATGTTAAAATGTCTGCCTAGAAAATCTTGAGTTACTTATGAAAGTACTTATTGCAGTGTAGGTTGCTGTGTAGGCATCTAAAAGTAACTAAAACATACATGTAATGTATTCTTCTCAGCCAATTCATACCCACAGGTAAAGATGACCATAGTGCATCTCAAAACTGGGCAAGCAAACCTTACATTGAGGAGCCTGTGCTGAAACACTGTTAACTGCTGTAGCTAATAACCTCAAAATGTCTATTTCTGCAGCCCACTGACTCCCTCAATTTTTGATGTCTGGGCTGCTCTTTACATTTTGCAGCTCATGGAGTCAGATCAACTGTTCAGAGCTGCTGCTCTGGCCATTTCCCCTCTACTTCCGCTCATGGGCCTCTGAGATTTTAGTGCTCTTGCCTTCTCATCTGCCTGAGGGGTTGTTTGGGTCAAAATCTGAGGCAGTGGTGAGCAGAGATTTCCCCCTCAGCTTCTTGGGCCAGTTTTTCAACTGGATGTTTGAATCCTTTGGAGCCTCTGCTACAGGGCCTCCCTGCTTGATCCTCTGCACCTTCCAAGTATGGCAGAGCAGCCTAAAACACATTGAATGAAAGCCAAATGGTGCTCGATTTGTGAGATTATCCTACCAGACTGGGCAGACAGTGAGTTGTGCCCAGCCTGCATCCAGCCTTCTGTCCCTGACTCTTGTTAAGTCCCAGGGCTATGAGTCAGACAGGCATGTGGGATCCCTGGCCCCCCAGAGCAACTGACTCCTGGGGAAACTGGGGAAAACGTGCAGAGTAGGAAGGGGCTCCAGGGATGAAGAGGACGCTAGTCAGCTGACTCATAGTAAGTCTCAAGGGGCCTCTAGAGAATAGAAAAGGCCATACTTGTGGGACCACAAATTCCCCCCCTCCCCCATCCTAAAATTGGTCCTGAGCATCCTGGGAAAAGAAGCAAGGACTCATAAGCACCCTCCCCTCCTTCCTAGTTTGGCCAGGAAG